ATGATGTGGCACATTATCCAGCTCACAGGAGCCACGAGTGGGTAGGCACACTGTGATCAAAAGGAGACAGATATCATCAGCAGTAATACTCAGCTAGGCTGTGGCATTTATACGATGTGCAACTGAACAAAGAGGCGAGAAGTGTGCCAAGAAAATATTGTCCACACCATTAAACCACCACCACTGGCCAAAACCAATGGCAAAAGGTAGGAAAGAGACGTGTTTTCAAGTTGTTCACAGCAAACTCTGACCTTCCATCGGGCTGTTGCAGCAAAAATCAAGACTCGTGAGACCAGACAACATTTTTCCAATTTGCTATTGTCCAGTTTTGGTGTGTCCATGTAAATTGCAGCCTCAGTTCTTAGCTGTGGTATGTGGTCTTCTGCTGCTATAACCCATCAGCTTTGAGCTTCACAAAATGTATTCATTCAGTGATGCTTTTCTGCATACACTGGTTGTAAAGACAGATTACTTAAGTTACTGTTGCCTCCCTGTAAGCCCGAAGAAGTTTGGCCATATTTTTCTGATCTCTGGAATCAACAAGGCATTTTCTCCCAGAGAATTGCCATTTCCTGGATATTGGCATACTGGAATTACACAGATGACACCAGCAACCATGCTGCATTCAAAGTTACTTAAATCACCCTTTTCTGCAATTATGATGCTCAGTTTGAACTTCAGCACATCATCTAGAGCTTGTCCACATGCCTAAACGATACTGCCATGGGATTAATTAATTACATATTTGCATTAACAAGCGTGTGAGCAGGTGTACCTAATAAAGTGACTGTGAAGTGTATATATGCTAGAAGACAAGGAGTGGCCCTTTAAATGCATGTCCCCTCGTGGTTTCTTTAACCAGATAGGCTGTTAAAAATGTAACTACCTTAAAATGTGTTTAAACTGGGGGAAAGTTACTGTTTTTGAGACAAAGGAAGACGGTTAGCGCTCTAGAAGACAGGCTTGTTTTTTACAGTGTAACCCTGAGGGATAAATGAAGTGTTGTAGGCGGCCACTAGGTGGCGATAGTCACAAAGACTGCTTTTGAGGCGTTGCTTGGCGCCTTTCAAAAGCAAACAACTGCTTTACCCTTTAGTTAAACACTTCTTGGCCATGGCCTACATTTGATGCAATATAAAACGTGTTCGCTTAAAGTGTTTTATAGGAAACTGAGTTGAAATGGGAATAAAAATAAAAATAAAATTAAAAAAAGTCCAAAAAACGCAACCAAAGAGCAGCAGGAACACATGAGGAAAGTCTAGTCAAGCAGGCCATTCTTCTGCTTCTGCACCCTTTACTCTGATGAGGCAGTGTGGGAGGTCAGAGTTCACACTGACAGATGTGTGGGAGGTTGTGACCTGTCTGGCCAGTTCTGCTGCCTGTGGCCACAGCTCTGATGTTGGATTTCCATATTTTAAACTGTCAGTAGCATCAAGCTCAGAGCTACTGAGGTGTTTGTGAATCAAATATATTCCCCTCCTCTGCTTATCAAGCTTAACAATACTTTAGATTAAATTTTTTCCTCCCTTACACTCTTTCTTGCCACGTAGCTTAGCCATTGCCAGTGTGTGAATGTGTGTGTGAATGGGTGAATGACTAAATGTAGTCCTTAGGGACTGAGTAAAGCGCTATACAAATGCAGGCCATTTCTTTTATCTATGAAAAAAACAGTATAAATTGTATCAACATGTTAAAAGACTGCATTTTCTTTTATATATGCAGCAGCAGAATAATAAGATGAACTGAAATAATCAGTGGCATGGCCCTTGAGGGCAGAGCCGTTTTCTCTTCCCACTTGTGGTTTTTGGTTTCTTGTTGTCCTCCGCTGCCCCTGACGCCTCAGACTGATTGATTGTTTATGACGTCCGTTTTCTACAGGTCACTTCAGGCCATTTTCCTCATCTGAACTTACTCTTCAGATATTGTGGAATCAGCTGACAGGGTGACTAATAGTAAAGTGGCTTCATGTGAGTGAATATTATTTCATGTCAGTTCAGATTAGTCCTGCTGGGTCACAATACAGAACAAATATGGTTGCTTGAATGAAAAGCATTCAGCATTCAAACTCTAAATTGTGCCTAATGCTGTAAATTTGTTATTTTAACAACGAAATGTTTTATCTGGATGTTTTTTGATGTATATTCAGCAGAATACATGTTACAAGTTGTCATCTACAAAAAAACTAAAAATAAAAAAAATAAAATGAGTCATAAATTAGCAGCTTTGTTTGTTGGGTTTTTAAAGACACTTACTGGTGGTTACATATTTTAAAACATTATGAAAATATGAATAGATTTTTTATTAAAACAGCACAAACGATTTTTTTATGCATTATATGTTTAAAAAGTTATTTAAATCCCCATACGATGCTGCTGACTCTAGCAAAACTAATCTGGTTTAATGAGCCTTTGGCTTAAGTTAATGAATTGGGTAATTTATTAAGTTAGGTAATAACTACAATACACAAAGTGTGACAGAGACATGCAGAATGTAAGGCGATTGTTCAGGTTGGGGTCTCACATAATTGAAAAGCTATTATTCATTTAAATCCACTATAACGTAAAGTGTTTTCTTTAATGGCTTTTTCGAACTAAGCCACAGAAAATATCTACATGTATAACCTCACTGTTTTCTGTAGTAAATCCCAGGTCTTCATATTCATCTTTTAGATTTTCTTCAGCTAAATAATATAAATTAAATTAAACAACAATCCCATTAAGACGAAAAGTTATGCACAGTTTCTCACAAGCACAGTAACATACT